TTGCTAAATTCAAATTAAAAGCAGGCTGTCCTTATGCTGAGTAGCGGTTCAATTGACCAAACTTTACGGGAGAAATGATTGCAAGCCGAGCCAAACAGGAAACAAGTCACTTACCTGCGAGACGACGACCCCCGTCTTCAGATTTCCAGAATTCTGCTCTCTAAAAGTTTACGTTAACAAGAGTTGAGTGCCAGTGATGCAGCCGAGGCGCCTTTTTGATTCGGTGAGACTGGCTCCTCCCGCTCATTCCTTGACTGGTCGCTGCTTAGTGGAGATCTCCTCTATCCCAACCTCAGCGTCTCCATACCAGCCAGTTGGGATCCTGTTTGTGCACATGAGATGGAAAACTACAGGCCCATCACACCCGCACATCTATGTCCTGAAGGTTGCGTGCAGGAACACAAGCCCTGTTCACAATTCAGGAAAAGAAAAACCCGGTCGTACCCAAGGTGTCAGTCATTTCATAAGTGTGCCTAGGCTGAGACAGCGTGTGTTGTTTTTGCTGTTGTAGTTTTTTTAATGTTATGTTTCTTGGGGGAAATGGCCTTTAATCACCTCTCTTCTTCTAAATTAGCATCCTGGCCATACAATGGACCTTACTTCATTGCAAAATAAAGGCAACAAAACCTTGATTCGTGTCCGGCCCACACATGCTACGAACAAAAAGAGCTTTCAGTCTGGCTTGAGGTCTTTATATAATGTGTAGCTCTTGAAACTAAACAGCTTACAGTAGGGTTGTGTAAGAGGCCTAATGTGTGGCATAAATCAACTTTGCCCTGCTGGAGTTGGACTGGGGGCTGTGAGGGGAGAGAGTCTGTGTGCATGTGTGATGAATGAGTGCTTTGTTCAGGGGGGGAAATAATTGCTTGCAGGGGAAGGTTGACGATGTTTGTGCACACGCTAGTATACAGTGCAAATGGCAAGTCCCCGTCTCCTCCTAACCTCCTAATTTAATTTCATAGAAAGCAGGCACAAAGCGGGGGGGGGGGGGAGGCGTCTTTCTTTTACTGTGTTTATGCAAAGCATGTGAAAAAGCCTTTCGCTCTTCCAGTGACACCTGGAGACAAAATTCCGCCACTGCCCGTAATAGCCTTTTAAAAATGAATTCAGGCAACAAGAGATTTGGCTCTCTGAACTCACAAGTCGGTCGAGGGAGGGGGCTGATGGGACTGCTTTTAAAAGAGGGAAACACGAAATGTACAGAGGTTTCGATTTCTCTTTTGAGAAGCACAAGTGTTCTTCTGGGGGCTCCACACTCAGCAGAAGTGTGAACTTGAATAAAATATTGAGGGAGCCGGGTAACACACACACACACACACACACACACACACACACACACACAGCATAATTGATCACAAGACACAGTGCGCACACACCATTTGAATGGCAATGACCATCAACTTGGGGAGGGCTGGCCCCTCAAATATTTTATTGGGGGCGCTGGAGGGATCTCGGCTGCTGCTATGATGCTCAGAAAAAATGAATGTGTTTGCATGCTCCTTTTGAAGTGCAGCTAAAATCTAACCACCACCACTCCACACACACTTGTGGCTTAGTTCACACAAACAAAAGATGAAATAGTAAAACTGCTTTTGGATTGTACTGGTTCCATACAGCTGAATGCCTCCCTATGGAGTGACAGGGAGAATCACTCGGGCGTTTTAAAGCAAACCATCAAGGAAGAAAGTTGAACTAGAAAATGGATATTTGTGTACACTTGTATCTAGTGATGAGAGAGGATTCTGTCATGTGATCCTTCCCCTTTTAGGAATGAAACAGTCCAGGAACATTTCCACCCCCCCATCTGCAGTCTGTGGGGTTTTTTTTACCAGTGCCAGTCCTACTCACAAGCAGACCCACTGTAGTTGCTGGAAATGTCCACTGTGGATTCATTCACATCAATGGATCTACCCTGAGTAAGTAGCACATTTCAGATGCCAGGGATGGTGTACAGTGATACTACATCAACCTGCAACCTGTTTGTCCACCTGGTCCGACGTTGTCTTCCCTTGACTCACAGCAGCTCTCCAGCAGAAAGAAAGAGGTTTTTCCCATCACCAACTACAGTGGTACCTCAGGTTAAGTACTTAATTCGTTCCGGAGGTCAGTACTTAACCCGAAACTGTTCTTAACCTGAAGCACCACTTTAGCTAATGGGGCCTCCTGCTGCTGCCGTGCCGCTGGAGCACAATTTCTGTTCTCATCCTGAAGCAAAGTACTTAACCCGAGGTAATATTTCTGAGTTAGTAGAGTCTGTAACCTGAAGCGTATGTAACCTGAGGTACCACTGTAGTGCTTAGCTGATGTTTTAACTGTGAAATGTGCCTGAAGCCTTCTGCATGCACAGTGCACATACCGCCCCACCCCGTGCGGTCCTAGCTCAAGACCCCACTTTGAGTGAAAATAAAGTTCGTTCAGCAATTCATCCAAAGGATGCATGGAAGTGTTTTGGGGAAAATACTCTGGTTTCATGCTGGTGCTGCCTTAGGCATTGTGTCACACCATGTTATGCTTAAGAAGAGAAGAGAATAGTTTCTGCCCAAGGCGGCCTCTCAGCTAGAGCTGACTGGACTGCTAGCCCTGCTGAAAGCCAGATAACAGTTATAGATTCCTGTTCTGGGTGGTCTGACCGCTTAGCTTTGCTCCAATATTCCACGTGTGACTGGGCTTGACATAAGTCAGAAGGCAAGCCCCAACCAGTTTGTATGCAAACATATACCAGGAACTCCTCTGCATAAATTATCCTGCAGCAGCGTAGCTGGAAAACAAATGCATTCCAGGTTCTTGACTGCTAATGCATCACATACTGTAGACTCCTAGAGCTGGCAAAATGGCTTAGAAAGTCTGAGGGGTTGCTCGGGAGAGCCATGTTCTTGTTTGAGGTGCGCTTTCCTGGTGCAAGGAACCTTGCTACTCATTTTTAGGAATGGACAGATCCATCAAAGTCTTCTCCATTCCAGTTCTTCATGGGGATGGGGCTAAGTCTGCCCTGTCTCATTTCCATGTGAATTTTACAGGAAATCATTTGAACAGAAAAACTTATGATAGATAGAGATACATACAAGCATATATGCGCTTATATGGGGATCCGATGGCTGCAGCAATAACTCTGTCCAACCCCGTAATAGAATCTACAGGATTCCAGATTCTAAAGAGGACCAAAGGGAACTCATACTCTGATCTGGGTCGTGACCTGCCCTGATCGAATCAGGGGAGTTGGCTTTGGAATGTGACTTCTGCAGATGCCTCCTCCATCCCTACACATGGGTCACGTCTCAACTGGAGGAGTCCTCATCAGAGAAGGACCAGGAGGAGCCACCAGGATAGTTCTGTTAACACCAAGATCACAGGTTTGATCCCCGTAAGGGACAGCTGCATATTCCTGCATTGCAGGGGGTTGGACCAGATGATCCTCAGGGTCCCTTCCAAATCTATGATTCTATCACCCAGCCTTACGCCAAGCCTTGGGTCAGGCTCCATCTGGGGTCAAGGAGCTGGAGTTCTGCAATGAAACTGAGGTGGGGTGGTCTGCTTCCAGGGTGGCTCCAGCCTCTGACATCAAGGCTGAACAGGTCCCAAGCGGGGAAAGTGGCACCTTAAACCTGACCTATCCACAGAGGTGCCTGACTATGGACAAGGATTCCTCAGGAGTAAAGGTCTTCTTCTTTGGCGATCACTCGTACCCAAGTAAGATTGTCTTCAATGAACACGGTCTTAACAGTGAGTCTGTGGAGGCCAATTCTGGATCCACACACCCTTCCACAGGGGGGACATAAGTTTCTGAGCGGGAGTTGATCATGGTGAGGGTTTGCCAAGCATGCCTTCCTCTTAGCACATTTCTCCCTTTCGTCCTGAGTTTGAGCCTCTTCAAAGCCCTTTGGTAAAGGCTGTTCTCCAATTGGAGCACTCGCAGGCCAGTGTTTCTCAGTTGTCAGTGTTTATACATTTTTAAACATTTGCCTTGAGAGAGTCTTTAAACCTTTAAACCATTACGCTTTCCATTTTTAAGTTCAGAATAGAGTAGTTGCTTTGGAAGACAATAATCAGGCATCCGTACAACATGACCAGTCCAACAAAGTTAATGTTGAAGAGTCATTGCTTTGACACTGGTGATCTTTGCTTGTTCCAGTACACTGGAATTAGTTTGCCTGTCTTCCCAAGTAATGTGTAATTCTTTTCAGAGACACCGTTGATGGAATCTTTCAAGGGGTTGGAGATGGCGTTTGTAAGTGGACCATGTTTCACAAGCATACAGTAAGGTTGGTAGTGCAATAGCTTTGTAAACAAGCATTTTGGTTTCCCTGCGAATGTCCCAGTCCTCAAACACTCTGCACTTCAATTGGGAGAAAGCTGCACTTGCAGAGCTTGACTGACTCCAGCTACAACAGCAGATGCTGCTGAACAGATGCTTAGGTTGTGGGGTTGTTTGAGGGCATGGTTGCTGTTATTATTTTTGCACCTTTAGATCTTCTTATGATTTATGTGCAAATGGTTTGATTTGGCTGTGGGCTTTTTGCTGTGTTTTATTTATTGTTCATGACTACATTTGTTTATGTTTGTAATTATGTAATTCATTTCATGTTGTAAGCCACTTTAAACCAGTGTTGCCCAACCTCGGGTCTTGAGCTGTTTTTGGACTACAACTCCCATCATTCCTAGCTAGCAAGACCAGTGGTCACAGATGGTGGGAATTGTAGTCCGAAAAAATGCTGGAGACCCAAGGTTGAAAAACACTGGTTTGAACTATGGAAAAGTGGTATACAAACAAAATGATGATGTTGATGATGCTCAGGGATGATGCGAATTGTAGTCCAGCAACATCTGAAGGACACCAGGTGGCCCACACTGGTGTAGTTCCACCTTTAGATCCCTAAAAGAGAGGTGGGAGAGAGTTTTCTTTATGTTTGGCTTTCTTTTTAAAAGATGCTGCCACCTAGTGATCAGGATAGGAAAGGACACAATGTTGGCCAAGGTACGTAAAAAACTAAGGCGATTCTAAGTTTGTTGTACTGATATTGTATTCTGGATTTTTTATTTATTTTTTACAGGATAGAATAATATTATATTTCCATTGCTGTTTGAATATATCCTCACCTATCTGTTCAGCTTGAATGAAAAAATAGCAAAGCATGCTTTGTGCTCTGCTGCCAGTTTACATCTTCAGCTCTCACGCTCTCTCTCGCTTTCTGTTTACATGAGCACAAAAAAGGACATTTTTTTATTTCCTTTTTAAAGCATGGGCTTTAGCAGGGGCATATCACTTTGGGGATTTCGCTGTTTTGCACTCTGTCCGCGTCCGACGGAGGCTTCGGCCTATCAAACATCGTGGTTGATTTGTCGCTCGGATTCCCGGTAACTACGACCCAGTAATTCTTGTCTTCTTCAGCTCTGTGTGTATCCAGGTATGTGTGGCAGTTTACCTCAAATTCCTTTCCAAAGTATGTCCTTCAAAAGAAGAGAGTAGAAATTCAACAATTACGGCTAAACATTCCGTAACCTCAGCCTGAATGTCAACCAACCAGACACACATACAGTTTTAATTTTTTCAGTTGATTGCAGTGTGGCTTGTTTGTATGTGTGTTGGGGATAGGTTGTTGCGTCAGGTTAGCCATATTGATTCATACGCTATGGGGGGGATAGGTTGTTGTCCATTGTGCTGTGTATGTGATAAAGGGGGAGTCAGACGTATATTTAAATGATTTGTACAGTGGTGCCCCGCAAGACGAACCCCTCGCAAGACGGAAAACCCGCTAGACGAAAGGGTTTTCCTGTTTTGGAGGCGCTTCGCAAAACGAATTTCCCTATGGGCTTCCTTCGCAAGACGAAAGCCCATAGGGAAATCTCCGGGACAGCGGGGAAACGCAGCGCGTCTTCCCCACTGTCCTCGGACCTCCTCCGAAGGCTGCGGCGGGCGGAGAGACCTCCTCCCGCCGCCAGCCTTCGTTTCTCCGCTATCCCAGACGGCTTTTGAATGCAGGCGGGGGGGGGGAGCAAAGACTTTCAGGACCTCTTCTGAAGGCTGGCGGGGGGCAAAAGTCTTTGTCCCCCCGCCTGCCTTCCCGGGAGAGCGGAGAAACTCAGCGTGTTTCTCCGCTGTCCCGGACGGCTTTTGAAGGCAGGCGGGGGGGGGAGCATAGACTTTCGCCCCCCGCCCGCCTTCAGAAGAGGTCCTGGACCTCTTTTGAAGGCCGGCGGGGGGCGAAAGTCTTTGCTCCCCCCTGCCTGCCTTCCCGGGAGAGCGGAGAAACGCAGCATGTTTCTCCGCTGTCCCGGACGGCTTTTGAAGGCAGGCGGGGGGGAGCATAGACTTTCGCCCCCCGCCGGCCTTCAGAAGAGGTCCTGGACCTCTTCTGAAGGCCGGCGGGGGGCGAAAGTCTTTGCTCCCCCCTGCCTGCCTTCCCAGGAGAGCGGAGAAACACAGCGTGTTTCTCCGCTGTCCCGGACGGCTTTTGAAGGCAGGCGGGGGGGGAGCAAAGACTTTCGCACCCCGCCCGCCTTCAGAAGAGGTCCTGGACCTCTTCTGAAGGCCGGCGGGGGGCAAAAGTCTTTGTCCCCCCTGCCTGCCTTCCCGGGGGCTTTTAAATCGCCCCGGGACAGCGGAGAAGTCCCCCGCTGTCCCGGGGCTTTTTAAAATGCTGGGGGTGGGAAGAAAAGCCCTTGGTCCCCCCCCCCAGCCTTCAGAAGAGGTCGGGGGACAGACTGTCCCCGGACCTGGTTTGAAGTCGGTTTCCATAGGAACGCATTAATTGATTTTCAATGCATTCCTATGGGAAACCGTGCTTCGCAAGACGGAAAAATCGCAAGACGACAAAACTTGCGGAACGAATTAATTTCGTCTTGCGAGGCACCACTGTACTTTAAAAAGAAAAGAAAATACAATCCACCACACACCTTGCATTTATTTGAAGTGGGGGCAGGAAGCTCACTTTGTGGTGTTGACTTATGTTTATAATAATAAATAATAATTTTTTAATTTATATCCCGCCTATCTTGCTGAGTTTCTCCAGCCAATCAGGGCAGCTTACCACATATATAAAAACACAACAAAGCATCAAACATTAAGAAATAACAAAAATCCTTTACGAGCAACAAACAAACCAATAAATCAACAGAAACCAATAGCAACTGCAACAATAGCAATAATAGCAATAGCAATAATAAACAGTTTACAGTTACAAATTAAAATAACCACCAACCCCAACTAAACATTTAACCAACATCAACCTGACAAAAAACAGAGGAACCGAAATTAGATCTTTTTAAAACATTTTAGCCAGTTGCCTTGTTACACTCCTCAAATGTTGGCCCTGTTCTCCCATTACTTTTTTATATAAGGTTCAGCCAATATTCCTTCCCCGGTTACTCAAACTATACCCCGCCCCCCAACACACAAAAGAAACAATGGCCAATTTTCTTTCTTGGGGAAGTGGAGGCATTTATTTTGATTTTTGGGGAGGAGGTGGTTGCTACTTATGAGGAAATCCAGCCTTTGTAAATACAGTCTCACACTACTTCCCACTGTCCCCAGAATTCCCCGGGAAAGAGGTGACATTGCATTTTTATTGGGCAGTTCTGGCCAATGTACACTTTCTTTCTGCAAGCAGCTCCCCCTGATATCTGCCTTCTTGTAATCATTGTTTGGTTGGAGAGTGGCATCGCAAAATTCAGATAAGTGTGAATTTTGAACGGTGGCCGTGTCTTGGTTCACATGTTGTTTTACAAAGTGCAGATTTGATGGATCGCCTTTAAATGTTGAACTGAAATGAATTTATCCCCTGTCCCTGGTCCCCAGGATTGTTTGGGTAACCAGGGGGTTCAAAACTGGTGTAAAGCCAATGCATATTTGGAGTGTAGTGTAGATGTGCCCTTTCTACAAAAGTTGCTCACCTTATCCAGAAGATCCGAGGAACTGCCAAGGCCTGATTTGTATGACTGTGGACAATGAGGATCTTTGTATTTGCCTAGAAATGGGGGCGGGGAGAGAGAGAGAGAAAGAGAAATACTTGAAGGAAAGAAGGGCTTAAATTCTACGCATAAATTTGATTAAAATTTCCTTGGGAATCAAAAGCAAAGCAGAGAGAGGTGTAGCAAGGAAGAATTATTGTTCAAATAGTGCAGAAAAGGCGGAAGGTGAAGAAAAGCCACCCACACCATCGATTTAAAGCATTTTAAGAGGGAGGGCTTCCCCCAAAGAATGCTGGGAACACAGACGCCAGGTTCTCACCAATTTTGGGGGGTGCTCAGGACACGTGAGTGATGTCACACACATAATATGCATATGTGATGTCACACAGTTGGAGGAAGATGTGAGGCCCACTGTAGCCGCAAATAGGCTCAGCAAAGCCCTCTGCAGGCCATGGAATATTGAAGGGGCCCAGGCCCCTCCTTGAAAACTTTGGGGGCGCTCTCGGCCTCCTTAGATGGTGCCCCTGGCTGGGAATGATAGTTTAACCGCTTAGAGAGCTATTCCCAGCACCCTTTCGCAGAGCAACAATTTCCACCTTTCTTAACAAACTACAGTTTCAAGGTTTCTTTGGGGGGAAAGCCGTGTGCTTCAAATGTATGGTAAGGATGTGTCTGAAGATAGCTTGATGGGTAAAGGAAGCAAAGCCGTTCCCAGAATATGGGCTGGCATAAGGACCCCTGACCATTAGGTCCAGTCGTGACCGACTCTGGGGTTGTGGCTCTCATCTCGCTTTATTGGCCGAGGGAGCCAGCGTACAGCTTCCGGGTCATGTGGCCAGCATGACTAAGCCGCTTCTGGCGAACCAGAGCAGCACACGGAAATGTCATTTACCTTCCCACTGGAGCGGTACCTATTTATCTACTTGCACTTTGACGTGCTTTTGAACTGCTAGGTGGGCAGGAGCTGGGACCAAGCAACGGGAGCTCACCCTGTCACAGGGATTTGAACCGCCGACCTTCTGATCGGCAAGCCCTAGGCTCTGTGGTTTAAACCACAGCGTCACCCGTGTCCCTATGGGCTGGCATAGCAGAGGCCAAAGAGGTAAGAGTCACGGGAGGCAGCTAAAGGCCCCTAGAGCACAGGAGCATGTGTGGAGCTGGTTTAGGAAAGGAGGGAGAGGTGGTTGGAGAACATGAGGGAACAGTCTGAAAGGCAAGGTACGCTTAAGGGGCTCGGCGTCATTTCTTACAGGAACTGGGAACCCTTCATATTCCATGCGTAACTGTGGGTCGAGATAGGTAGCTTGCCAAGAACACAAGTAGGTAAGTTCATCAGTCAAGAACACAGGCTGGAGGGAGGATTTCTTTGTCATGTTCTGAAAACTTCTGTGGTCACTCGCAATAAATAGCTGGAAATGGAAACATGTGGGAATGATTTGTCTGAGAATTAGATAAACATTGTTGTAGATTGACAGAGGCCAAAGAACAAGCAAAACAAATATTAGCGCGGTTACAAATCTGGGTCCAGTATTGCGCTGACATCATACTGTAATCACATGTTGCATTCTTAAGTTTGCTGTATGGACTAGTCTGGCATGAATGGTTGGGTGTGAAGGACTTTGCATTTGCAAAACTTCAGGAAATGAGGGACACAGAGCTGCAAATCCCAGCACTTGCCAAAAACAGAAATACTACAGAAGTTACATTGATCAAAGCCACACAGAAAGCAAAGGCAACTTTGAGCATCCGGCTTGATGATGTCTCTTCATTGGGCACCTCTTAAGATATCATAGCCAAATTTTGTGAAATGGTTCCTGAGCTCAAGGAGCAGGTTTTCATCTATGTTGGATAGTATTGGACGACGTTCAAAATTGGCCAGGTGTCAGGTGCATTTCCACCTGGCTATTGGCCACTTGCAACCAAGTGAAGATGCCCAAGGTGACAGGATGGCACCTGACATCTCCACCATCTGGAGGTGCATTCCTGGGCATCCTTGGATCGTGACTGTTTTCACACACTAGCAACACAAAGAGGAAGCTTTTAACTAACGTTGGAAGGAGTCTTTACTCAACACGACTTACTTCTGAATTTTCAATATTTGTTTACTATTTAGAAGATTTTGGGTCCACTTTTTGGCTACAAGAACTTCCACATATATGCAATTCACCACAATAAAATACAAAAGAACAGAGTTAAGGACCAGAGCATCACGGAAGCAAATTGGCCATCTGGAAGGACATTACTGAATAATGCAGCACAATAGTGGTGTGTGGGAAATCAGTTTTGACTGGAGAAAAGCAATGCATCATCAGGGCTTAAAAAACAAAAAAAAATCCTAGTGCACGATCAACCATTGTTCAGGTAAGGGGTCCAAGCTTAGTGAGATCCTGCATGGGAGACTGGTTCAGGGTCCCAAGTATGTTGGTGTGAGCTCTTCAAAGGAGAAGCAGGTTAAAATTATGAAGTAGGCGATCATCATAAGCTGTACTAGGTATCGCAGAGCTTTCCAAACTGTGTGTCGCAACTTGTTGGTGTGTCAGCTGTAGTGTGTAGGTGTGTTGCATGATATGTGTCTGTATCTCTTATAAGGGGTTAGTTTAACTTCTGGTTTACTAGTGAAACTCAATCACTGTTGCAAAATGATGCATTTCTAAAAAGTGTCACCAATGTGAAAAGTTTGGAAAGCATGGTGAACAGTTAGCAAATAGCTGTTGCATCCTTAATCCTGCATAGGTTTATGGTAACATAACATTATAGTCATTAACATTGTATGGGCCGTTCTGTTTCATATATTCACTTACCATCTTCTCTGGAAACCCTCCAGATGCTCCAAGACCAAAATTCTGCCCAAATCTAAGTGGCTCTCCCATGCATTCACCTTCAATGCTTTAAAAAACAGACAAAGGTCATTATTTCAACAGAAGACATGTTACAAATCATTTACGAGGGGTGTGCGGCAGATTCAAATTGATCCCAGGACCTGAGCCCAAAGCAAGGTTCTCCTGAAGGATTCTGGGTTTGTGCAAAGCAAGGCAGGCTCTTTACAAGGTGCACACAACTGAAGTAGGCACCTTGGCAATATAAGGTAAAAAAAAGGTAAAGGACCCCTGGACGGTTAAGTCCAGTCAAAGGCAACTATGGGGTTGTGGCGCTTATCTCACTTTCAGGCCAAGGGAGCCGGCGTTTGTCCACAGACAGCTTTCTGGGTCATGTGGCCAGCAGGACTAAACCACTTCTGGTGCAGCGGGACACCGTGACAGAAGCCAAAGCGCATGGAAACGCCGTTTACCTTCCTGCCACAGGGGTATCTATTTATCTACTTGCACTGGCTTGCTTTCGAACTGCTAGGTTGGCAGGAGCTGAGACAGAGCAACGGGAGCTCACTCTGTCACAGGGATTCAAACCACCAACCTTCTGATCGGCAAGCCCAAGGGGCTCAGTGGTTTAGACCACAGCGCCACCTTGGCAATATGGAGGCAAAGAAAAACATGCAGCAGGTGACTTGCCTGCTAACAGCATAACTAGTCTTGGTGTACTAAATAAGGAGGGAGAAAGAAGGAAAGAATGAATGAAAAAGAAAGAAAGAAAGATCCAATTCTAGGAAGTTACAAAATGATTCAACCAGTCTCCCACCTTAAAATCCGGAACGCATTCCGGCCAATTGGGGTCACGCTGCTGATTGCGCTCATATCACAGGGAGCTTTCAGTTCATTCTCTAAGAGTATGTCTGTTTCCTTGGGATTAACAGCCAGAGATAGATTCCCACTCATGGTAGGTTCCTTGTCAGGTGACTTGTTGTTATCTGGGCTCACCAGCATAACCGTATCTCCAAAGTGAATAAATCCGTCTGTTGAAATGGAGAGCTGCTCCTTTTTTAAAAAAAGAATAAGAAGAAGGGGTGGGATCTCAGATGATTATAGCATGATTTGGATTTTCACTTTGGTTGTCTCCAAAGATCATTTTTTATGATCAAGCCACACTTGTTTAGGGAAGTTTTTAATGTTTTATTATTAATATTCTGTTGGGAGCCGCCCAGAGTGGCTGGGGAAATGCTGTCGGATGGGTGGTGTATAAATAAATTATTATTATTATTATTATTATTATTATTATTATTATTATTATTATTTGCATTCTGCACTGGAAAATATGGGCTTCCCACGCATCCTTACAAACACAACCTTGAAGATGAAACTGCCCATCTGGCAAAAGAAGCCTCAAGTCAGGGAAGGGTCTGTTGGTCTGTGATATGGCACATCCTTCTCTTGCAGATTCCAAGTTCAGTCCCTGGCATTTTACAGGTAATCCTTAAAAAGGAGCCCTGCCTGAAACCCCAAGGAGCTGCCCATTGGTATATACAGTGGTACCTCGGGTTAAGTACTTAATTCGCTCTGGAGGTCCATTCTTTTTTCTTTTTTTTTAGCGTTTATTAATTTTCCAATAAAAACATCTAATTAACATATCAAATCCAATCCAATGAAAATAAAAAACTAAAATAAAAAAACTCCAATTGTCTTCCAAATTGTAATAATTTTTGTTTTAGCTAATGGGGCCTCCTGCTGCTACCGCGCAGCCGGAGCACGATTTCTGTTCTCATCCTGAAGCAAAGTTCTTAACCCGAGGTACTATTTCTGGGTTAGCAGAGTCTGTAACCTGAAGCGTATGTAACCTGAAGCATATGTAACCCGAGGTACCACTGTACTAGCGTTTCCCAACCTGGTGCCCTGTAGATGTTTGGAGCTGGAGCTCCCATCAGCCAGAGCCAGCATGGCTAAAGATCTGGTATGATGGCAGTTGTCGTCCAAAAATCCGCTCTACTTCCCAGTGGGGAGGAGTTGCGGTGGACCACGTGGCCACCCACTCCCCTCCGGGGGCAGGGGACGAAGTCTCAGGTCCCCTGGAGGTTCCCAGCCATGTCATTCGCCTGCCAGCCAATCCGCTGGCTGGGGGGCGTGGCCAGGCCCATTTAAACTGAGGTGCGAGCTGGAGAGCTTCCTCTTGGCTCACTTCCTCAATCGCCATTGAGGGGCCTGGTAGGAATTTTTCCACTTGGCAAATTGGCAGGGGACACTTGGTTTTCGCCTACCTCGTAGCAATCGTCAAAACTTTGTAAGGTTTGGCGGTTAGGCATTGGTTGATCTTATGATGGGGGAGGGGAGGTGTGGCCATCACCTGCCCCTCCAAGTTTAAGAGTATTCCATTAAAGGAATCAGGGGATGTGGATCTTGTCTGAAGTCCGGGGCTGGGCTAGGGCCATGCCACAACCCCGTTGGGAACCCAGGGGGAGCTCGAGTTGGTTTGCATCGACGGGGCTTCCCCTACCGGTGGTTGACCCTTACTGGACTCCCTGCATGACGGGCAGGAGTCAGATATAGTAAAGGTAAAGGGACCCCTGACCATTAGGTCCAGTCGTGACCGACTCTGGGGTTGCGGCGCTCATCTTGCTTTATTGGCCGAGGGAGCCGGCGTACAGCTTCCGGGTCATGTGGCCAGCATGACTAAGCGGCTTCTGGCGAACCAAAGCAGCGCACAGAAACGCTGTTTACCTTCCCGCCGGAGAGGTACCTTTTTATCTACTTGCACTTTGATGTGCTTTCGAACTGCTAGGTTGGCAGGAGCAGGGACTGAGCAACAGGAGCTCACCCCGTCGCGGGGATTCGAACCGCTGAACTTCTGATCAGCAAGTCCTAGGCTCTGTGGATTAACCCACAGCGCCACCCGCGTGCCTAAGCAAGCGCTGGTAGAAATGTAGAAATGCAATGGGTGATCACATACCTTCTTGTAAAGGTTCTCTTTCAGTTTCTTTGATTTCTGGATTAGAAGCTCCCCTCTTTCTCTTTTACATAAGAAGTCTTTTAGGAGTTCCTGTTTTGGGAAAGAAATTTTTTTTAATGTGAGCTTGGCATTTTAACATGCATCCGTTGTCTCATCGCGGCTCGGTCTGAATAGTGCAACCTCCAGCCACCGCAAACGGTGGCAAATGCAAATAAAAAACAACAGCAATAAAAGTCTGCTAAATTTCACCATTAAGAGGTGTGCAAAAGTAAGGCAGACTCCCACAATTTGAGCCAGGGGGCACAAATAGAGTTTGAAAAACACAAAGCCAATTACAAAATCCAGAAAGGGGTGTAGAAAAGGAAGCAGAATCAGAAAAAAGCTGGGTCAGTTGGCATCAGCAAGAAGCACTTTTTCTTTAATATCCCAAATACAGGAAAAGAAATGTCCTTTGTTTTGGACAAAGCATTTACCAATTATTTGCCATAATTAAAGTTCATAAAATATAAAGAATAAAAGTACAAAACTATATCCATAGATTTAAGGGGATTTTCCTTAAAACATCCATAGTAATTGATATCAATAACTTCTGCTACAAAATTTATTGACAAAACACATTTCCTCATGTACAGTGCTTTTTTTCTGGGGGGACGCATACCCCTAAACATTTTGTGAATCTAAGTTTGGCCTCATTGAGGGGCAGTCTTTCAATATGAGTAGGAAAATGAGAGTACCCCTAAACATATTTTTTTTTAGGAAAAAAAGCACTAACCATGTATCATATATCAGAAATTAGACAATGTGCACTAAACTGAGAGTAATCTCGCTGGACACAGTGGACTTTATTTCCAAGTAAATGTAGAAAGGACTGAACAGTAAATGGAATAAAGACACAAAGTAAACGAAATAAGTCAAGAGGGGAGGAAGAGCTTTTAATTACCTCTTCCAGACACACATCTTCGTTCCAGTTGCCAACCAGCACCCCAGGGCTGTATTGTCTGCCACTCATGCTAGTCCTTAGGTTGAACATTTTGGATTACTTTGAAGTAGGCCACTTCGCTAGCCTTAAAGTCGAGGAGGTAGGTGCCACAAAACACCCTGGGCAAAGCGGTACACACGCTGCTGTGAGAAAGATGATCTGTGTTTACAGGTTGCTATGGGAACCTTGTGTGTGCCCCTGGGATTGGCCCTGCTGGAGGAGAGCTGCTAGCCAATCGGAATAGGGAAGAATGGCTGAGAAAGGGGGGGGGCTCTTGCCATCCCTTTAGCCATGGGACAAAACTGGGACCATCCATAGATGGGACGTATATTTTATAAGCAAGAGAATTGAATTAATTGTGCTGTTTTGGACTGTGATCTGTGTACACACACAAAAACTGTAAACAATAAATAAATATCCAGTTGATTTTATATACTCTTGTTTCCTTGTTTTACTGTAAATCGTGTTATACTGTGAACCACCATGTACAAAGGGTACAAATAAATAAACTAGATTCAAATAATTTAGATTCAGATAGGTAGACACACACAGAGAGAGTACACCTTCCCTGTACTGTTTTAGATGCTTCCTGAAAACTTTTCTGTTTCAGCCAGCCTATCCAGACACATGGTTTAGTTACATTTGTATCAAATGCTTTTACTGATTTTGTCCTGTTTTTTAGTGATGGATATATGTATATTTGTTTTTGATTGATTTGTGGATTTAAGTCATTTTTAAAATATATGACTGGCCTTTTTTTCTTTTTGGAAGTGGGATTTGCACACACCTAAACGAAAATCTGCATTACGGTTTGCAGGGTGTAGTTTTAAGTACATGCTTTGAAAATGACTTAGCAGAGCATGGCCTGAATCGCCAATAAAAATGTCTCGCCCTCTTTGTTTGCTTACATACTACAACCTACTAGAATTTCCTCATTAGCTGAACTTAAAATGTGAATCCCTGTCAATCACATGCTGGAAGTCATACACTGAGGGCTCATCCACAAAGACCGCTCCCCACATCAAATGGAGGGCGCCTTTTGCGTGATCGGGCGCAGCCCCCTGGATCCCAGTGTGGCTCCTGGTAGTTCAGGCTGGCTTCATCCTCCCCAGGTTGGATACCTGGAGGTCTCCGCCTACCTCAGCCAATCGCCCAATCCCGCCTGGGGAGGCGTTGCAAGGGGATCGGCCAGGTAAGGGGAGGGACCATCCTGCCCACACAACAGAAGGTGAATCTTACCTGCGAAGGGTCAGTTGGCTCCAGAGCTTCTCCCACCCTGCCCTCCCTCAGTTAAGCATTCTTTTGCAGGTTAACCTCTTCCCCACAGGTACGCAGGTGCTGCCACATCAGAGTCGCTGTTGAAGGGCCAGAAAGGAATTTTCCTGCTTTGGCAGGTTTTGCCTTTCCCGTAGCAAAACGTCACAACTTTGGCGGTTTCAGGTCTTGGGCAGAATCCTTTAGTCTATCTTCCTAAATGGGGGGGGGGGTGAAGCGGTGACCCACGCCCCTCCTTGCGGTGGTGATCCCAGGATTCCCCGTTAAAGGGGTATTGAGGGGAGGCATTGGCCATACGCCGAGAGGTTGTCATTGCTCTCCCCTCCAACGGCGGCAAAAGGGGGGTGGGCTCTCTGCTTGAACATATGTTCTCCAGAGTCAGCCCAATCCCCACACATTCTGGAAAACCCTGATGTCTCCCAGATCCCCGGCTGGGGACTGGGAAGGATAAACACCCAGTGCCTGAGCCAAGGTCTCCCTGCATCTGAAACTTAATAAAGTTGTGGCCAATTTTAATCCCATAGCGCATTGTCTTGAGTCTTTATTCCGCTCGGGGGTCGCCTGGGGTTGGGGGGACTCCGCCTGTCCATGCAATTACATTTTGCCCCATACTTTCTAGGCAGAGGTCCGCACTGTATCGAAACAACTGGCATTTCAGGTTTTCTGCGGAATTACTTTCAGAGGTTAAGAGTGGGGTTTTGCAAGGAAAGCACCGGGGCAAAAGGGGGGGACAGGGGGGGGACTCAGAGCTTTAAGTGGGACCTATGATAGAAAGGTGACATGAAAGGATGAGCCCTTAGTTCAACTTACACATCTTGAATAATGTAATTCTAGGCGCTGATATTATTGTGTGGGTGAACCTTAGTACAACAGCTCCATCTTGTGGTTTATTTAGGTCAACTCATTTTCTGGCTAAATTCATTTTTAAAGTTGGTTTGCAAAACTCCTCCTCTGTGCGGCTTATATAAGAGGATGAATAAACGTTAGTTTTTGGTTAAGATTATTGATAACTGCCAAATCAGGATTTTGGAAGCAACACGAATGGTGGTGATTTAGGAACATCTTAGAATAATCACATGAAACTGCACGGCATCATAAAGAGATTACATTTTAGAATGTGAACTTCTTGTCGTTGTCTTTGCAAAATCGAAGGTTTTAATTAAATTAGGATGTCTGGTTTATCTCAAGCATGTTTGAGATGATGTTTTAGCTATATATGCACATGACTTAACTACATGAAAGGCAAGTTACTTCTGATTAAATCATTTCCCAGCTATATGCAACTGGATCTCTGGGTTTTCGTTTCCCCTTTCCCTTCACAATTAAACCAATGTTTAATTAACTTCCTATGTTCGTCAACATGGTTCTGCAACAATTGCTGTTTTTAACAAAGCACACACAAAATGCTTATATCTTGCTGTTAAACTTATTTGCAAAATTATGGAAGGCTCGTAAGTGGTTTCATATTTGTGATAAAGGTTAGAAATGTGGAGAATGTTGATATTAACTGATGATTTTTAGGAGGTGGGGAAGTCTGGAAATGCTTGTGTTCTAAGCTTTGCTTTTGATACTTGCAATCATGTGCTTTATTGATAAGCAATGGAACTGTAATGTTCTTTATATATAACTCTGGCCATAGAACATGAGTATTAACTGAAAAACTGGAGTGCTAAAATCCATTGCCCAACCAAACAACAACTTGAGACATTCAATTGGCATTGACATTTAGAGGTAAATGTTATAATGGTTGTGATTGTTTTACTGATGCTGTTGAATTTTCTAACATTTCTGTTTGGATCTCTTAAAATATTGAAAACATTTTCTAACCACCAAGTTCCTATAAAATAATTTTTATTCTGGAATAAAAAGGTACCCCTGCCCATACGGGCCAGTCTTGACAGACTCTAGGGTTGTGCGCCCATCTCACTCAAGAGGCCGGGGGCCAGCGCTGTCCAGAGACACTTCCGGGTCACGTGGCCAGCATGACATCGCTTCTCTGGCGAGCCAGAGCCGCACACGGAAACGCCGTTTACCTTCCCGCTAGTAAGCGGTCCCTATTTATCTACTTGCACCCGGGGGTGCTTTCGAACTGCTAGGTTGGCAGGTGCTGGGACCGAGCAACGGGAGCGCACCCCGCCACGGGGATTCGAACCGCCGACCCTTCGATCGGCAAGCCCTAGGCGCTGAGGCCCTTACCCACAGTGCCACCCACGTCCCCATTCTAGAATAAAACCCACTGGCAAAATCCATCTCTCTCATAATTCGCAAGCCCAAGAATTTCTTACCCCAGTTGTGTTTATTGCCCATCTTTGAAGGCCATAGAAAGACATAGTTGGTACAACCCATTGTCTGTATGTGTGCAGATAGCATTTTGCAATTTTTGGGCGGGTGGGGGAGGGAGAATGTATTGTTTTCAAACCTATTTCTGCTGTGGATTCTAAGAAGGGATATTTTCTTGCCATATTTTCATCCAAGGGATTTTTTTCCTTCTCTTGTTGGACATGTGAATAGCATGTCGGCCTCTCAATAACTGTGGAAAAGGAAGACAACTCAACTCTTCAGCATCTGCTCACCAGAGCAATCTGCCTGGGTCTTCTTTTTAATATGCTGCTCTGACAAGTACCATATTTTCTGAAAGGCTGCTTTCTTGTCTTTGGACTTTGAAGATGGTACATCTGTTTTCTAATTGCGCTTCTCTCTGTATGATAGGTAATATTTGTTGTTGTTTAGTCGTTTAGTCGTGTCCGACTCTTCGTGACCCCATGGACCAGAGCACGCCAGGCACTCCTGTCCTCCACTACTTCCCGCAGTTTGGTCAAACTCATGCTGGTAACCTCAAAAACACTATCCAACCATCTCGTCCTCTGTCGCCCCCTTCTCCTTGTGCCCTCCATCTTTCCCAGCATCAGTGTCTTCTCCAGGGAGTCTTCCCTTCTCATGAGGTGGCCAAAGTACTGGAGCCTCAGCTTCACGATCTGTCCTTCCAGTGAGCACTCAGGGCTGATTTCCTTAAGAATGGATGCGTTTGATCTTCTTGCAGTCCATGGGACTCTCAAGAGTCTCCTCCAGCACCATAATTCAAAAGCATCAATTCTTCGGCGATCAGCCTTCTTTATGGTCCAGCTCTCACTTCCATACATCACTACTGGGAAAACCATGGCTTTAACTATACGGACCTTTGTTGGCCAGGTGACGTCTCTACTTCTCAAGATGCTGTCTAGGCCTGTCATTGCCCTTCTCCCAAGAAGCAGGCGTCTTTTAATTTCGTAACTGCTGTCACCATCTGCAGTGATCATGGAGCCCAAGAAAGTAAAATCTCTCACTGCCTCCATTTCTTCCCCTTCTATTTGCCAGGAGGTGATGGGACCAGTGGTAATATACTAATGCCAAAAAAGAGAGAGATGACTCCTCTCTTTCCAAGCTGTGAATGATGTGGCTTTATATACATAGCTAAGCGGCGTATCCACTCATTAAAGGAGGCACTGGGAAGCTTGGCGGAAGCAAAAATTATTGGAGAAAAGTACCGGGCTGTTGGGAACCTGCCCCCAAAACGGTCCAGTGAACTCTGAGCAAGCTCAGTGACCATGGAATCCTGACAGTTAAGAGGGGAGGACCCAGGAAGATGTTCAGCATGTGGTCACCAAAGCAACATGTCTGTGTTCATTTTAATATGCCAATCTCACTATTCCGACAAACAGTCAGAATGGTGCTATATGGGCAAAGGCTGTAGAATGTCTGCTTTTCCATGTACAGCGGTACCTCGGGTTACAGACGCTTCAGGTTACAGACTCCGCTAACCCAGAAGTAGTACCTCGGGTTAAGAACTTTGCTTCAGGATGAGACCAGAAATCGCGCGGCGGCGGCGGGAGGTCCCATTAGCTAAAGTGGTACCTCAGGTTAAGAACAGTTTCAGGTTAAGAACGGACCTCCAGAACGAATTAAGTTCTTAACCTGAGGTACCACTGTACACGGTCCAAGTCAAGAAACTGTCAGAGTTTGAGGACA